CTACCGCTCACTTGACTCAATTATCTGTCTCTATATTTCACTATCTGCTATCCTATCTCCGCTTTATTTGCAGGGCTTATATATATAAAAAAGAGGGCACCTAGAAAAGACTAGAGTTACCAGGAACCGTCATGATCCTTCTAGAAACTCCAGCGCGCATGCTTCCAGCGTCGCGTGACTTCCGCTGCCGTAACCATATATTTTTGTTTTATTGTGAAGACACAACTCTGTCTGTCTCGTTTGTGATATGTTTATATTACATTACAAAGACATAAAAATGTCTGTCTGGTTTGTTATACATTTATTTACATTAAAAAGATATAAGCCTGTCTGTTGAATTTGTTATACCTTTAAGTTTCATTAAAAAGGCATAAAAGTGCCATTATCTTTAAAATTGTCTGTGAAGTTTGTTATACATTTATGTTGCATTACAAAGATATTTACTTGTCTGTCTAACTTCATATGTGTTTATGTTATGTTACATAAAACTGTCTGTACAGTTTGTTATATATTTATATTATTTACAAAGACATAACCTTTCTGTATCTTTGTTTGTTTGAAGTTAAGCATAAAGCTACTCAATGGGCTATCTTTGCTCCGCCCACCACTGGGGGGCATTCTGTATCTTTTAAGCTGTCTGTCTAGTTTGTGTTACATTACAAAGACATGAACTTTTCTGTTTCATTTGTTATACATTTAGGTTTCATTACAAATACTTAAAATTGTCTGCATCTTTAAAGCTGTCAGGAGGTATGTTTATCTTACTTTAGAAGGACATAATGCTGTATATATAGTTTTGTTGCGTCAGCGAGGTCACGTGACTAGTGTCACGCCACGTTTCTAGAACTATCTTGTTCCTTCGTGAATGCCCTAGCATTTACTAGATATATGTTTGTCTGGTATATATATAAGATGGTCACAACGTGACGGGAACAATGTGTGTGTAGGTAGTGAGTAATTGATCTGCAGTCAGAGAGTATTGTTGAAATTCGGTATAGCGTTTGTTTTAGCGCGAATGTTGAAATCAAGTGTATCGTAATGTTATATTCAGAAAGAATAAACCAGTTTTATCAAGTAAGGACTTGTGTCGCTAAAGTTTCGTCGGAACGAAGTTACGGGAAGTTAATTAACAAACGGAGACGTAACAGTTTGTTATACGTTTACTTTACATTACAAAGACATCCGCTCTGTCTATGTGTCTAGTTTGTTATAAATTTTTGTTACACAACAAAGGCATAAATCTGTCTAGTTTGTTATAAATTTATGTTACATTACAAAGACATAAACCTGTCTAGCTTGTTATACATTGGTGTTACTTTACAAAGACATATACGTATCCGTCTAGTTTGTTATAAACTTGTGTTAGATTACAAAGGTTAGGTTACCTGTCTGCCTAATTTATTATACATTTAAGTTTTGTTAAAAAGACATACTGTTTGTATGTTACATTACAAAGACAAACTTTTCTGTGTGGCTTGTTAAAAAGATACAAGCCTACCTATCTAGCTTGTTATACGTTTTTTAATACAAATAGATAAACCTGTGTGTAATTTGGTTTTGTATTAATTTGTGTTATATTAGAAAGAAATATAAACTTGTCTGTATAGTTGTTTTTACGTTTATTTTACACTATATTTAATACTTGTCTATCTAGCTTGCTTTACGATTATTTTACGTTATACAGAGATAAATCTGTCTAATTTGCTTTACTTTTATCTTACATTACTAAGCCATAAACCTGTTTTTCTACCCACTTTTTATATATTTGTTACAATACAAAGACAAATCTGTCTATCTAGCTCTCTACCTTTCTTTTTAACTTGTTATTAGGGTAACCAGACGTCCCAGTTTTGCCGGGACAGTCCCGTTTTTTGGTACTTTGTCCCGAAAAACGTCTCAGGACGCACAAAACGTCCCAGTTTTATAAAAACATCAAATTGTCAGTCATATCCAGTCACGAAAGTTATAGGCCTACTTGAGTAGCACATTGTTGTAATATGTCCTCTCCTTCTGCCAAACTCTCTCGAAAGTTTTGTTCGTGCGTGGTGAGTAGCCTAGGCCTGCGCAGTTCTGAAAATGAACTCAATTAAGGCAGTTTTAGACAGTTATGTATCGAATCTTATAACTATTTAATGAAAAATAAAACTTCCAACGTTCCATTCATTTTTCATAAACAAATATGTTTTAAAATTTCAAAGTAATATTGAACCCAAAAGTAATATGTTTGGAAATGTTATTGCTTCTAAATAAATTCTGGTATGAAGTAGCCTATTTTAAGATGAATTAGATAAAGCGAATAATAAAGATTTCTTGGGTGTATAAGTTGGCTATTTTTGCTCATTTGTTTCATGTCTGTTACCAAAAAGTAGTCGAAATTATTTCAAAAACATTACCAATGTAAATATATTTGGAAATATTGTGGAACAGTTCAGTACATTAACTAAAAGTTCAATTTTATTCAAATTTGTAATAACCATTTTGAAATTGGGAGGAAGGGCTGTACTGTCCCGGCTTTTCGGTTTGGAAGTCTGATTCGTTATACATTTAAGAAATATAATATTATTTCTATAGGGTTTTCGAGTCCTTTTTAATTCACCATACAGTAATCTAAATTAATTTAGGTATGCAAATATTGTTATGACATTTCGCCTAATTCATTATTCGATAATATTCAGCAGACCGATAGTTTTCTGATTATATAAGTATAGTGTTACGACATCGAGGTCTCAAAGGATGAGTAATTTGAATGTATGCTGACAGAGTATTGTTGAACTGAGCACGTTAGACGTTCGTCGTGAATTATAGCGCTTGTTATAGCGCGACTGTTGAAATTAAGTGTATCGCAAAGTTATATTCAGACAGAATAAACCAGTTTTATTTAAGAAAGGACTTGCATCGCTAAAGTTTCGTCGGAATGAATTTACGGAAAATTAATTAACGAACGGAGACGTAACAATATTATAGGTTTCTTTTCTGTTCAAAGATGAATTGAGCGAAGAATATGTGACATTGAGGCCTAATGCATTTTTTGATTGACCGTACCCTCTGCTGTGGAACTGCAGCTTCACCTATTCAAGGCTCATCAGCATAGCTTGAGTCACAAAATCAATAATAAACTTTACCATTATAAGAGGCCTAACTGTATATCGAATAATGAATTAAGCAGAATGTCACAATTATTTGTATGGTGAATTAAAAAAGTCTCAAAAAACCCATAGATATTGGATACACTTTACCATTATAAAAGGCCTAACTGTATTTCTTTGGTTTACTAATTCAAGCTGTGTTGGTGAGTCTTCAATAGGCGAAACTGCAGTCCATAGCAATGGGCACCGCCAATCGAGGAATGCATTAGGCCTCACAGATTCTTTTTTTTTTATAATTATTCAATCTTTGGTGCAAAAGAAAAGAGATATTTAACACATTTATATAATCATATTATGTCTGTTCTGCAATAGATTATTTTACAAACCATTACCACCAAAAACAACTACAAGAAAAAAACCCGCTAATCTTCGCTGTCCTTTGAATTTGACACAATACCTTCTCAATAAAGTTAAAGAGGATTCGGAGTTTTCTTTATTATAGGTACGATAAGGTACAACTATAATTATGTATTAATGCACATGAATTCCCTGAATTTATTTATATGCAGTTGGGTGACTAGACATGTCATCTGATATTTTAGGTCAAACAATAATCAATAAAAATCTGTCTTCTAATGAACGTATGTTCTTTGTTCTAAAGTATTAATTCTTAATACGTTTAGCAACACACGTATTAGAACGGTATTCAATTAAAATCTCGTCCTCAATATGTGAAGAATGTTTCTACAAACACACATTATGTGAATATTTAACTTTGTTCGAATAATATCTCCAATCTCCTGGAATATACTGTTCTCCGACGCAGGTGATTGCAACTTCGAAGAGAACACATGCGGCTGGACTAATCCTGGGCTGACAGACCAATTTGACGACTTTGACTGGGCTCGTCAATTCAGCTACAGCGTCAGTGGACCAGGTACTGATCATACGATAGGAACTTCCTCAGGTAAAGTAAACTTAACCATCGTCCATCCGATTCTTGGAAGTTGTTTTGCTTAAGTATCTTTCAGGCCCGAAGAAGTCTGAATGAGAAAAAGGGGCAGTCAGAAACAACTTTTTCTCTTTACTCCACTTGATTTTAATAACAAAGAAATTAGAATACGTTACCAGGGTGATATTATCACTTGGTGCAGGTCTAGAGTCGTGGCATGATCGTGATGACTCAAGCCGTCGGGAAAAGCAGCGAATTAATGAATGAAATAAAGCTTGCCTCGAGCTGAAAACAGCAAGTACAAGAGAAAGAGAGAGATGGAGGCACGTGGAGATGTTAAGGTACGTATAATTGTTGGTAAACTGGTGGCAGTGTGACTGGCTGGGTCAATGAAGTCACTTGGAAATCGATGACAGCATTGGATAAGAGGCTCGACAAAGCACATTAATTCTGATTTAGTAGAAACATACTCAACTATATAGTGTTTAGGATAATTAAGTTGATGACTTTATATTTTAGAGTTACTATTTTCGTTATATTTTTCTTTTATGTTTGAGGAGTGATAAAACGTTAAGGTTATTAAAATAAAAATTTAATATAACTAAGACAGCGATTTACGATTACAAATGAAAATATGACTAACGATGACTTGGTACAGTCCCTTCTCAGAGCTGGGATATATAGATCCTATTATCGTGAATAATTTTTCCTGTGTGTGTGGTGGGGGGGGGGAGTATCTCGAGACAACCCACTTTCATGGCCAGGGCACCGAATAAAACTGCCCGGAAGGAGCTATGAAAGGAAAAACAAGGATTAGTATGCATGGCGGGATACACTGGTTAACTTTAATAATGGTTTATAAAAGTTAAAATAGACTCGACGGATGAAAGGTCGTGGTTAAGTAGGAGAACCTTGGTCATCTTCGGAGTCAGGTATATTTGTGTTAGGGCGGATGAGGCGAAGAAATGGTGACGTCTTCAGGAGGATATTCCGTGGGTGGCTAGGAGTTTCTGGTTGATGGGTTTCGAGAGGCTGAGGTTTCTTAGACAATCGGGTAGATCTTCGGAAATCTTCATCGGGATGGTCGTCGATTTGGATTCGTCTGTCTTTTTTGGCGATCCATGGCTGTTTTTCTTGGCTAATTGGCTGAGAGTTGTCTGTAGATGTAGAAGTATCGCACTTAGTCAGAGTCTGGGTCGATTGTGAGATTTTCTTGTAGTGGATGGTGGTTCTGTGCAGAACTTCGATGGTCTGTTGATTTGTGCTAGGCGATGAGAAGACTTGCTGGAAAGGTTAGAAGATGTGACGGGACGATGATAAAGGCGTTTGGCACTGAAATGAAAAATATAAAAGTTACATCCTTGGGTTAAAATGAGGTCAGCAACTTGTCTTGGAGTAGTGACAATTATTGTTCTGTCCTGTACTGCGTGTAATCTGATCTGGGTTATTTCTTCTTATGACTGGTGTATTTTGTCTGGAGAGATTGACTGGCTGACGACCCAGAGGAAAACAGAAAAAAAGGTTAGATTTGGAGGATTACAGATAATGGGTAAGGAACACTACCACGGGGAGCATACATATTGGAGATCTTTGTCAGGTCAATGGCTTCATTTGATTTAAAATCAGTCAGGAAAGCGTTAATTTGATTAAGTGAGAAGTCGCGGGATAACCCGTCGATAATGACGGGCAGACTGCTGGGTTGACCTTCGAGGGTGGTCCTTGTACAGAAGAATTGCTGAAACTCAAGATCGCAGTAACTAGGTCTTCATGGCTTGAAGGTTAAACAGGAACTCAAAACCAAAACCAAGTTAATCACAAACATATATATACACTATCTTATAGCCCCTCAAAAATGACGGGGCAAATACTACTCCCCCACCTCATAGTATACTCTAACCACACATTTCATAGCTAACTGTAACGAATTTGTTGTTATGTATTTATTTTAATATGAACGTTGTTTAGATTAAGTTTATATTTAGAAACATACATAGCTTATACTGTTAGATAAGTATTGCGAAACTCCCGCCTATTCTCCTATGTTGTAGAAGACTCTCGATAGTAATAATCAACAATATATTTATATACATAAACGCTTTAACCAGTATTGTTACGTAAGACTGAATTTTCTAGAAAACCTTCTCACGGCTATAAATATAACCAACGTGATGCACCAAAGAGAATGTCTATTATTAGTTCGCCATAATTAGTTTCCTATAAAATTTCGAAAGCTATAACTGTGATTTTTATAACTCTTATCAATCGGAAAACTTAAGATACTTGACCAGGAATATTTAAAAATTTCGAATGTTACAAATCGTTTAACTTCAGTGGATTCTC